TATCCTTCGATTTGCATGAAATTTGGCATAGCGTACTGAATTGAGTCTAGAATGCTGTGTGGTACGTGTCGGGAAAATCGATTCAGATTTCGATTGAGACTTGAATGACTTTATTGCGTTTTGTTGAAATTGGTGCAGATGTAGCTATCTTCCGTATGTATTTCGAACGGGTGTCTGATTGAGATTGAATTTTTAACAGTGCGACGTACCGAATAGCGTGTATCAAGGCATGAGTGTGTTCCTTCGAGGGAACATTGATATGCAATTGTAAGGTTACATATGTACAATATACGCAAAGTGGTGAAGGGTATCATATAGTCGGCCCAGTCCGACTTTACTACTTTCCTTACTGGTTTTAAAAATAGTTTTTAAGTTCTATTAAAGGCTTGGCTTTTTATTTAAAAAATATTTTTTCGAGGTCTATTAGAGGCGTGGTTCCATTAAAAATGAAGTGGTTCTATTAAAATAAAGGCGTGGTTTTATACAAGGCTTAGATTTGTTAAAGAATATTTTTTGAGATCTATTAAATGCGTGCATTTTTTTAGAGGTGTGGATTAAAAAAAATATATATATATTTTTATTTTTTTTTTTTAAATCTATTAGAGGCGTAATTATATTTAACACATTTTCTTAGGAACTGCGAGAGGCATATCTTAATGTAGAATATTTTTCCAAGACCTATTAGAAGCGTAGTTTTATTAAAAATATTTTTCAAGTCTATTGGAGGCATGGTTTTAAAACTATACGTTTTCAAGGTCTTGTGGAAGCTAAAGATATTTTTCAAGGTCAATTAGAGGCGTGGTTTGATAAAATTAATTTTTTCAAGGTCTATTAGAGGCGTGGTATTATTAAAAATAATCTTTCAAGGCCTATTAGGGGCGTAATTTTATTAAAAACATTTTGTTCAAGGTCTTGTAGAGCCGTTGTTTTGAAAAAAAAATTGCATGGTCTATTAGATGCGTATTTTTATTAATTTTTTCAAGGCCTATTATAGTTTTACTTAACATATTTTTTTTCAATGTCTATATAAAAAATCTAACCGGCCGAACTTAACGACGTTTTTACTCGCTTCCACATCATTTATTTCCTTATTACATATATATTACCTTTTTTAATCCAATTATCACATTCCATTTATGCAATGGAAAATGTGACACTATCAGTGTTGTGAATTAGAAAAAAGCACGCATATATCACATTTCTATCCGAAACTTTTCATAAAAAAATATAAATACAAAAATGCTTATTAAGCAAATAAAAAACGACAGTATCCATGTCATATTTGAAATTTACAACTACAGCATAATTTAATTATATGCTCTGCGTTTTTATTCTGCATTGTTCACCCATTCTACAATTAGATCATTACAACACACACCCGCACACAAATAAGGACAACATATGAGAATGAATAATTCGAATCTGTGAACAAGTGAAATTAAAAATTAATTAAAAAATAATTAAAAATCCAACAAAATCCAATAAAAAACTCGTAATTCATTGTGGTTTAAATCGATGCAATGAAACAATCAATAATACTACGGTGATATACAGTTATAAATTGTTATTTTATATGTACATATAAATATAAAATAATGCAATATAAAAAATTAATAAACGACGATGAAACAACATGTTGCCAATTGAGACGTGTTTATTGGAAACATTAACCTTTTTTAAATTTTATTGGAATTCACTTCACTTTGATGTTTTAAAGGACATTACCACAAAGTGTTAGAATAGTTGAATCACTAATATAATTCCACTTCAATAGAGAAAACAAATAATGTTATTAAAATATATATTTTCTAACAATTGTTTTGAACTCAGGTTTCAACCATATTAAACTCTGTGGTAGAAGTTATATTGATTTTTTTTTCTTCGCCCCCTCTTTTTTTATCTGTTTATTATTAATTGAAATTGCAATTATGTTTTAATTAATTTGTATGCATATTAAATAATATAATTTACATAAACATACAGATGCAATGCACAGATGTAGTGAATTTTTACACACACATACATTTGCACTCTAATGTGTTGCTGATGTCGACTTTTTTATTTTTGCTTTTTCCACCATAAATTGGGAGCTATATTCAGTTTGTCGATTATCTTGTAACACCGAGATTGAATTTTTCTTTTCTTTAACAGACGTGCAACTCGAAAGATTTACAGGGACTTTGGTGCGAAAATATATTTGGGAGCTATATGTAAATCTGAATCGAATTTCACGAATCTTAGCACACATCATTCTAGATTCAATTCAGAACGCCGTGCCAAATTTCGTACAAATCGGAGTATATATAGGGACTTTGGTGCACCATTTACTTTAAATCGGACGAAAATATGTATGGGACCTATGTCTAAATCCGAACCGATTTTCACAAAACTTAGCATACATCATTCTAGGCTCAATTCAGCACGTCATGCCCAATTTGTGCAAATCGAATGATATATAGGGACTTTGGTCACCATTTACCTTAAATCGGTCGAACTTGGCAGACATCATTCTAAAATCAATTCATTACGCTATGCCAAATTTCGTGTAAATCGCAAGATAAGTAGGGGCTTTGGTGCACCATTAACATAAAATAGCGAAAATATATATGGGAGCTATATGTAAATCTGAACCGATTTTCACGAAACTTACCACACATCATTCTGTGCCAAATTTCGTGTAAATCGAATGATAAGTAGGAGCTTTGGTGCTCCATTAACATAAAATCAGACGAAAATATATATATGGGAGCTATATGTAAATCTGAACCTATTTTCACGAAACTGAACACACATTATTCTAGGCTTAATTCAGTACGCTGTGTCAAATTTCGTGAGAATCGAAAAATATTTAAGGATTTTGGTACACCATTTACCTTAAATCGGACGAAAATATATATGAGAGCTATATCTAAATCTTAACCGATTTTCACGAAACTTAGCACACATTATTCTTGACTTAATTCAGTACCCTATGCTGAAATTCGTGCACACTGAAAGATATATAGGGACTTTGGTGAACCTTTTACCTAAAATCGGGCGAAAATGTATATGGGAGCAATATCTAAATTTGAACCGATTTTCACCAATTTCAATAGTGTTCGTCCTTGGGCCAAATAAATGAATTATAAATGCGACCTGTACTTTGTTTACAACGGACATGCATACATCGACTGAGAAAGTTATTCTAGGCATATTCTCAAAAGGAAGGGTCTACCTCGTTTGCTTTTGCCTGTTACAAACATGACATAATACCCTGTACCACAGTGTGGTGAAGGGTAAAAAAACAAAGGTCTATTAGAGGCGTGTTTTTTTGTAATATTTTGCAAGGTCCATTAGAGACGTGATTTTATTAAAAATATTTTTTCAAGGTCCATTAGAGGCGTGGTTTTATTGAAAACATTTTTTCAAGGTCTATTAGAGGCGTTACTAAAACTATTTTTTAAGGTTTATTAGAGGTGTGGTTTTATTAATTTTTATAGAAAAGCAAAATAATGTAATTAATTCTATATAGAAGATATGAAAATTTTTATCTTGAACCAGGATCTTCTTCAATCATATCAGATATGAAGGTCTTCTATTTTCATAGAAGATCTAGAAGGACTTCTTCTTTTCTTGCAGAAATAAAGGTATTTTTCTTTTAAAGAGACCTGATAGTCTTCTTTCATAGGTGAAGTTATTTTTCTTCATAGAACCCTTCTTCTTTTATTTACGAGCTGAAGAATGAAATATATCAATTTAAAGGTTAACCACTCCAATTGGATATTCTATCACCATCTCGGTTCTATGTCCATTTAGGAGTAAATATATACGCCATAGAATATAATTTTTGTCATTTTTCACACAAACGTCAGCCGTTGGACCCGCTAAATATTGATCGATCTTTGTCAAAAGAGACGTACTTATTCTTTAGCTCCATCCTCCATCCACTTCTCCTTGTAAAAATTCGCGATGTTTGGTCCATAATTGCGGCCACTGGAGCAACTAGAAAATTCTTTCATAGAAGATTATAGGCTTTCTCTTTCATGTAATAGCTGAAGGTCGTCATCTTTCATAGAATACCTGAAGGTCTTCATCTTTCATAGAAGAGCTGAAGGTCTTCATCTTTCATAGAATACCTGAAGGTCGTCATCTTTCATAGAATACCTGAAGGTCTTCATCTTATTCATAGAAGAGCTGAAGGTATTTTTCTTCACAGAAGCCTTATTCTTTCATTTAAGAGCTGAAGGAATTCATCTTTTTTAGATAGCTTTTTTCATAGCAGATTTAAATTACTTCTTCTTTCATAGAATAGCTAAAGGTCATAGAAGTGTTTTGTAAAAGAGGAGCAGGTCTGTATTCGAGACGAATAGTAGAAAATCCTATCGGAGTATCATTGATTTTTGTTTCTAAAAAAAATTATTACTTATTTTGTGTATTTCTCTACTGTTGAAGGGTATATAATTGCCGTCCACGTCGTAATAAATGCGTTTTTACTTAATTTGCAAATTGTATGTTTTCCAATGACCTTTCTCTTGTGCATACAAACACGTAAATGTAATTTGTGATAATTGTAATCCATCACCAATAAAATAATTCAATTTTAGTTCGGGGGTAAATTGTTTTTAATTAAAATAAATATATTGAAAAAAAAAATGAAAAACATTTACAATAAAACAGCATTTATCTTTCGAGGTCATCAAGTGAGTGACAATTGAAAATGTAATCGATTGTAAATGTAGAGGTTTTTTCCCCGGTTTGTATTTTTTAGTGCAGTAGTAAGTGGCTTAAATGTTTAAAATGTATTGGCAGGATGTTTATTTTTTCCAAATGCAAATTTTTACAAAATGTTAGTCAAAGATAAGCGGAAGCTATTTTAATGCACACCTCATGGTAGAGGTTATAAGGAGCAGTTTTTATATTCAGATTTCAATTCATGAACAGATATTATTTAAAATAAAATATATTTTTCTCAACAAAAATCTTATATTGTTAACTCAAAGTAACAATCATGTTCTACTTACTTATCCACCACCAACTTCGTGAATACCAAATCACGTTTGTAATAGACGGGATTGCTGTGTTCATGATTCACTGCCTTATCCATCAAAGGGTGTGAGCGTATAAAATTCAGAACGGTGTCGGGTAAATTTGAGGTATCATTGACACACGTACCGGGGCGAGGTTCGGGAACACGTGCGTTCAATACGGGTAGCCAGGCAGAATTTGAAGTAGATTGCTCTTTGAATTTACCTAAGAAAATACAAAATAAGAAAAAAACAACCGAGTAAAACGATGGAAAATAATACAAAATAAAGGAAATAAACAACAATTGCTGCAAAACAATTGTATTTTGTTAACAAGGATTTTACAATTCGGTAATCCCAGAACAATTGTGGTGTTATTGCACAAAATGTATTTCATTCATTCAGCCGTACTTTTCTAAAATGTTATATACGGTTGCTATGTTCAACAAAATCCCCCAATGGAATATTTTCGAAAAAAAATAGAAAAACTTTAACAATACACAATATAAAATACACTGGCAAAAATTCAGCTATGTAAAATGTTATTGGCAAACCAATAACTCGAATTGGGGTTTCCATTGTTTGTTTCCTTGCTGCTATTTTGTCCAAGTGTATCAATTACCTTAAACCGCAACCAAGACACTTAAAGCAATCATCAAATCCATTGTAGCTGCATTAAGACACAAATGCTTTGTGTCTTACCATGACACACAAGCGGATTAAAGCCACCACGGTAACATCACAAAACACTTAATTCATTGTTGGCAAGATGTTTAGCAAAATCATGTTGATTTGCAGTTACATTTACAACAACAATAACAATTGAAAAACAAAATTTAATTTAATCTGAGAAAAATGGAGTGGAAACTCATTTAAAACCGATATATAAAAATATTGTAAATTGGTAGATATCCACAAGGTGTAGAAATAAAGATTTTTTCTCAGGAGACCGAAAGGCCTTCTTCTGGAAGTCTCATCATTTCATAGAAGAGCTGAAGATTTTCTTCTGTCATAAAATAGCTAAAGGCCTTCTTCTATCACAGAAGGTCTGAAAGACTTTTCTTTCCTAGGAGAGTTGAAGGGATGTTTCTTTCATAAAATAGGCAAAGGTCATATTCTTCCATAATGCAGCTGAAATCCACTGAAAGTCTACTTCTTCCATAATAGGAAAGTGTTCTGCTTAAATTTCTTCTTTTTAATAAAAGGGGGAGGGTCTGCTTTCAAAGAAGAGCTGATGGTATTCTTCTTTCACAAAAGAACTGGAGATCTTCTTCCTTCACAGTAGAGTTGAAGGCGTTCATCCTTCATAGAAGATCTGAAGATCTTCCTCTTTCATTGAAGAGCTGAAGATCTTCCTCCCTCATAGAAAGCTTTCCTCTTGCATAGAAGGGCTGTGAAGTCTTTTTTACTTTCATAGAAGGGCTGCGACGGTCTACTTCTTTCATACAAGAGCTGAAGGTATTCCTTCATAAAATATTTCAAGGTCTTCCTCCTGCATAGAACAGTTGAAGCCTACCTCCTTCATAGAACAACTGGTGGTCTTCTTATTTCATAGAAGAGCTAAAGGTATTCCATCTTGATACAAGAGCTGGAGGTCTTCCTCAGCCATAGACGAGCTGAAAGTCTTCCCCATTCATAGAGGAGCTGAAAGTCTTCCTTTTTCATATAATAGCTCAAGGTCCTCCTCTTTCATAGAGGAATTGTAGGACTTCTTCTACAGAAGAACTAAAGGTCTTCCTCTTTCATAGAAGGGCTGTGACGGTCTTCTTACATCATAGAAGAGCTGAAGGTCTTCCGCCTTCATAGTAGAACTGAAGGTCTTCCTCGTTCATAAAAGAAGTGAAGATCTTATATCATAGAATAACTGAAGGTCTTCCTGCTTCATAGAAGGACTGACGGTGTTCTGAAGCTGAGCTGAAGATCTTCACCATTGACAGAGAAACTGAACGGCTGAAAGTCTTCCTCATCTTTCATAGATGAGCTGAAGGACTTCTTCCATAGAAGAGCTGCAGGCCTTCCTCTTTCATAGAAGGGCTGTGACGGTATTCTTCTTTAATAGAATGCCTTCTACTTTCATAGAACAGCTGAAGGTCTTCTTCCTTCATAGTAGAACTGAAGGTCTACGATTGTATGGAAAAGCTGAAGGTCTTCGCCTTGCATAAAATATCTGGAGGTCTTCCTCCTTCATAGAAGATTTGATGGTATTGGCCTTGCATAGTAGATCTAAAGGTCCTATACTTTCATAGTTGAGATGAAGATATTCTTCCGCATAAAAGATTGAAGATCTTCTTCGTTCATTGAAAAGCTGAAGATCCCCTTCTCTGATAGAAAAGCTGAAACTCTTCTTCTTTCATAGAAGATATGAAGGTAGTCTTCCTCATATAAAAGCGGAGTGTACAAGGGCTTTTACAATAGCCTATTAATGAAAAGTCGAATATATTTCATTGCTTTCCAAAGTATTCAGATTTATAAACATTCTCATGCACTCAAATCACTTGTTGAAGCACTTTTCCCACTCCACCATCATGACATGGGTTTGAACACCTCCACAATTTTTTATACCCTCCACCATAGTATGGAGGGTATATTAATTATACCCTTCACCACACTGTGGTACAGGGTATTATGTCTTTGTGCATATGTTTGTAACAGGTAAAAATAATCGAGATAGACCCATGGTTCCTTTTGAGAATATGCATAGAATCACTTTCTAAGTCGATTTATGCATGTCCGTCCGTCCGTCCGTCCGTCTGTCCGTCTGTCCGTCTGTCCGTCTGTCTGTCCATGTTAAATTGTAAACAAAGTACAGGTCGCATTTATGATCCGAATTGGATGAAATTTGGCACAGGTCACTTATTCGGCCCAAGGACGAACCCTATTGAAATTGGGAAAAATCGGTTCAGATTTAGATATAGCTCCCATATATATATTTAACCGATTTAATGTAAACGGTCCCTATATATCTTTCGATTTGCACGAAATTTGGTACAGGCTAATCATTTAGGCCTGTAATGATGTCTGCCAAGTTTCGTGAAAATCGGCCCAGATTTAGATATAGCTCCCATATATAGTTTCGTCCGATTTCATGTAAATGGTGCCCCAAAGTCCCTGTATATCTTTTGATTTGCACGAAATTTGGCATAACGTACTGAAATAATCCTAGAGTGACGTCTGCCAATTTTCGAGAAAATCGGTCCAGATTTAGATATAGCTCCCATATATAGTTTCGTCCGATTTCATGTAAATGGTGCCCTAAAGTCCCTTTATATCTTTCGATTTGCACGAAATTTGGTATAACGTACTGAATTGAGCCTAGAATGATGTCTGCCAAGTTTCGAGAAAATCGGTCCAGATTTAGATATAGCTCCCATATATAGTTTCGTCCGATTACATGTAAATGGTGCACCAAAGTCCCTATATATCCTTCGATTTGCACGAAATTTGGTACAACGTACTTAATTGAGCCCAGAATAATGTCTGCCAAGTTTCATGAAAATCGGTCCTGATTTAGATATATCTCCCATATATAGTTTCGTCCGATTTCATGTAAATGGTGCCCCAAAGTCCCTATATATCTTTTGATTTGCACGAAATTTGGTACAGCCTAATCATTTAGGTCTAGAATAATATCTGCCAAGTTTCGTGAAAATCGGTCCAGATTTAGATATAGCTCCCATATATAGTTTCGTCCGATTTCATGTAAATGGTGCACCAAACTCCCTTTATATCTTTCGATTTGCACGAAATTTGGCACAACGTAGTTAATTGAGTCTAGAATGATGTCTGCCAAGTTTCGTGAAAATCGGTCCAGATTTGGATATAGCTCCCATATATAGTTTCGTCCGATTTCATGTAAATGGTGCCCCAAACTCCCTATATATCTTTCGATTTGCACGAAATTTGGCATAACGTAGTTAATTGAGTCTAGAATGATGTCTTTCAAGTTTCGTGAAAATCGGTCCAGATTTGGATATAGCTCCCATATATAGTTTCGTCCGATTTCATATAAATGGTGCCTCAAAGTCCCTATATACCTTTCGATTTGCACGAAATTTGGCATAACGTACTGAATTGGGTCTAGAATGATGTCTGGCAAGTTTCGTGAAAATCGGTACAGATTTAGATATAGCTCCCTTTTATTATAGATTGATTTTAAGTAATTGACGCACCAAGGAACCAGTAGGAACAAAACGTTCTGAAATTAGTATAACCTATCCTGTGACAAGTTTGTTTGAAATCGCTTAATATTTGGATAGAGCTTCCATATATATTTTCGCCCGATTTCGAGTAAATTGGGCATCAAACTTCCCATGTTAGTCAGTTTGACATCAAATTTTGCACAACGTACAAAATTGAGCATAGAATTATGTAGTTGCGTTTTCTAGAAGTACAGGCATAACCCAACGGATGACCTATTTATATTTGTTTGAAGTCGATTTACATACTTTATGGATAGATCTAAGTAGATTCACATTTAGATAAATATCACATATTTTATTTCATCCAATTTCATGCTAATAGTCCTGTTTAATATACCCATAGTGGTGAAGGGTATCATATAGTCGGCCCCGTCCGACTTTACTACTTTCCTTACTGGTTTTTTATATTATTTTTTTCAACCCTATAAAGTATACATTTATTTGATCAGGGTAAAATTCTAAGACGATCTAGCCATGTCCGTCCGTCCGTCCATAGGCATAGCTCCCAAATAACAGTACCTCCCACTTTTCGGTATTTTGGGGTTCTTGAGCTCGTTTTTCAACCGAATACGCGGAAATTTGATACATTGAGTTCTTATTGTGTACTAAATGTCTCCACAAAAAATTATAAATATTGGTCCACTTTTTCTGGTAGTCCCCATATAACGGTACCTCCTAATTTTCAGTATTTTAAGGGCTTTGATCGTATTTTTCCACCGAATTGGCTGTAATTTAGTATTTTGAGTTCTTAATAGAAACCAAATCTCTTCACACAAAATGCGAGAATATTTTCTCCAGGACTACCCGATCTATAAACGTGGATTTTTAAAGAATATTTTTTCAAGGACTATCAGACCTATAGGCGTGCAATCTTCGACAATATTTTCTCATGGACTACTCGAGCAATAAGTGTGGACTTTTAAAGAATATTTTCTCAAGAACTATCATAACTTTAAGATTTGATTTTTAAAGAATATTTCCCCAAGGAATATCCGAGCAGTAAGCGTGGCTGTGTAAGAAAAGTTCTGTAAGAAAAGTCTAATACTTATAATTTTCGATTATTTTTATTTTCCATACCCTTTCATATTTTACCTAATTTTATTTATCTCCCATTAAATAAATAATAATAAAAAAATTATATATGCCAACTTACCATTGAATGCTGCCTGTACTTCGTTGATGTGAAAACTGCATACGGCCGAACCGATTAGACCATTTGTACTTGTCGTAAATGTTGCATAGAAACGTGTCTTATCGTTTGGCAACTGATACACCGATTGTATCTCATTGAAATAGAAGGGGAATTCACCAGAAATACTGCAATTCAGGCGAGCCTTCAAGTACGTAGCCCAATTGTGTGCCAAAATATTCTTGCCACCGACATCCTTCTTGCAGACACGAGCGATACGCGAATAAACAGCCTTGCCACAATTGATGTACTCGACAGCGGTTTCACGGAAAAAGAAATACACATAATCGCCAATGTCATAAGAGCCAACGAAGTTGGGTTCTAAAGATAGATGAGGGAGAAGGAAAATAGATAAATGGGTTAAAAAATAATTATACGTTTATTCTATTATTTTATTATGTGTCATATTTAATTTATTAGTAACTTTTCTTAACTAAAGAGTTTAATTGAATTTTTCCTTCTTTTGTATCTTGCTTTGGATGTTCAATAAAATGTGTCAAAGTACTTTGTAAAATGGAGTTTATAATCGAATATAATCAGTTTAATTAATTTTGCATAAAAAAGTGTGCTATCGAAGGGCTTTGATTTTCACAGTAAATGACAAAGATTATTGGAAGAGGGTGTGTGTCTTGCTTTTTATGGCGCATAGAATATTTATCCTTTCGGAAAATATAAACGCCATGGAACATGTTTTCTTATACGATAATTAATTTTGATGTTGTGGTAAATAGCTTCGTGAAAAATATGAACTGTGGTTTCCACCGATCAGTTAAGGAAAATTAGAACGTAAGGTGTATTTTTATTTAAAGATAAATTTCCTCAAGGACTGACAAAGCCATAACCGAACATATAAAAAATATTAAGGACTATTCGAGCAATAAACATCGATTTAAAACAATATTTTATGAAGGTCTCTCCGAACTTAAAGCGTGGATTTTAAAGAACCGGAATTTTTTTAAAATATTTTTCCAATGCCTATCAGACCCATAAGCGTGGATTTTTAAAGAATATTTTTCCAAGGCCTATCAGACCCATAAGCGTGGATTTTTAAAGAATATTTTTCCAAGGCCTATCAGACCCATAAGCGTGGATTTTTAAAGAATATTTTTCCAAAGCCTATCAGACCCATAAGCGTGGATTTTTAAAGAATATTTTTCCAAGGCCTATCAGACCCATAAGCGTGGATTTTTAAAGAATATTTTTCCAAGGCCTTTCAGACCCATAAGCGTGGATTTTTAAAGAATATTTTTCCAAGGCCTATCAGACCCATAAGCGTGGATTTTTAAAGAATATTTTTCCAAGGCCTATCAGACCCATAAGCGTGGATTTTTAAAGAATATTTTTCCAAGGCCTATCAGACCAATAAGCGTGGATTTTTAAAGAATATTTTTCCAAAGCCTTTTAGACCCATAAGCGTGGATTTTTAAAGAATATTTTTCCAAAGCCTATCAGACCAATAAGCGTGGATTTTTAAGGAATATTTTTCCAAGACCTATCAGACCCATAAGCGTGGATTTTTAAAGAATATTTTTCCAAGGCCTATCAGACCCATAAGCGTGGATTTTTAAAGAATATGTTTTCAAGGAATAATAGAGAATTTTTTCTTAAGGACTGTCAGACTTATAAACCTGAATTTTAAGGCATGTTTTCTCAAGGACTATCAGACCTATAAACCTGAATTTTTAAGGAATATTTCCTCAAGGACTATCAGACCTATAAACATGATTTTTTAAAGAATATTTTCTCAAGGACTATCAGACCTAAAAACCTGAATTTTTAACTAATATTTTCTCAAGGACTGTCATACCTATAAGCTTGGGGTTTTAAAGAATATATTCTCAATGATTATCAGACCTATAAGACTGTATTTTTACGGAATATTTTCTCAAGGACTACTAGACCATAAGCCTAGATTTTTAAAGAAAATTTTGTTAAAGATTACCAGACCTATAAGCCTGCATATTTAAACAATATTTTCTCAAGGGCTATCCGACCTATAAATCTGAATTTTTAAAGAATATTTTCTCATGGACTATCAGACCTATAAACATGATTTTTTAACGTATATTTTCTCAAGGACTAATAGACCTATAAGCCTGGATTTTTAAAGAATATTTTCTAAGTGACTTATACACTTATAAACCTGAATTTTTAGAGACTATTTTATTAAGGACTATCCGACCTATAAGCTTGGATTTTTAAAGAATATTATTTCAAGGATCGATAAAGAATATTTTTTTAAAGGAATATCAGACCTATAAGGCTGGATTTTTAAAGAATATTTTCTCAAGGACTAATAGACCTATAAGCCTGGATTTTTAAAGAATATTTTCTAAGTGACTAGGACAAGGACATAACTAGAAGCGTGGATTTATATAAAGAATATTTTCTCAAGGACTATCAGGCGTGGATTTATTAAAAGAATATTTTTTGCAAGGATTATCAGGCGTGGATTTATTTAAAGTATATTTTCTCAAGGACTATCAGACCTATAAGCCTGAGTTTTTAACAAATATATTTTCTTAAGGACATTCAGATCTATAAGCCTGGATTTTTAAAAAATATTTTCTCAAGGACTATCAAACCCATAAGCGTGGGTATATTTCATATATTTCTATTTTCAACCGTAGCTCATTTATATTTTCCACCATCTAATCTCCTCGGACCACTGTTCTTTTTCGAAGTAAAATTCCGTTACAAACCAAATGCAATTACCAACATTGGTGTTTTTCATCGCATTAACGGGTGGATAATAAATTTCATTAGTTTGTTGTCGTTGTTTTCGATGTCGTTATAGTCGCGGATGCTCTTCTGGCAAATGTTTTCCTATTTTGTGCTCAACATCAATGAGTAAGTGTGTGGGTGTGTGTGTGTGTTTTGTGAAAAACTAATTATTTATGAGGCGTGGATTTGTTAAAGAATATTTTTCAAGGGCCAACTGAGGCGTGGATTTATTAAAGAATATTTTTCAAGGGCCAACTGAGGCGTGGATTTATTAAAGAATATTTTTCAAGGGCCAACTGAGGCGTGGATTTATTAAAGAATATTTTTCAAGGGCCAACTGAGGCGTGGATTTATTAAAGAATATTTTTCAAGGGCCAACTGAGGCGTGGATTTATTAAAGAATATTTTTCAAGGGCCAACTGAGGCGTGGATTTATTAAAGAATATTTTTCAAGGGCCAACTGAGGCGTGGATTTATTAAAGAATATTTTTCAAGGGCCAACTGAGGCGTGGATTTATTAAAGAATATTTTTCAAGGGCCAACTGAGGCGTGGATTTATTAAAGAATATTTTTCAAGGGCCAACTGAGGCGTGGATTTATTAAAGAATATTTTTCAAGGGCCAACTGAGGCGTGGATTTATTAAAGAATATTTTTCAAGGGCCAACTGAGGCGTGGATTTATTAAAGAATATTTTTCAAGGGCCAACTGAGGCGTGGATTTATTAAAGAATATTTTTCAAGGGCCAACTGAGGCGTGGATTTATTAAAGAATATTTTTCAAGGGCCAACTGAGGCGTGGATTTATTAAAGAATATTTTTCAAGGGCCAACTGAGGCGTGGATTTATTAAAGAATATTTTTCAAGGGCCAACTGAGGCGTGGATTTATTAAAGAATATTTTTCAAGGGCCAACTGAGGCGTGGATTTATTAAAGAATATTTTTCAAGGGCCAACTGAGGCGTGGATTTATTAAAGAATATTTTTCAAGGGCCAACTGAGGCGTGGATTTATTAAAGAATATTTTTCAAGGGCCAACTGAGGCGTGGATTTATTAAAGAATATTTTTCAAGGGCCAACTGAGGCGTGGATTTATTAAAGAATATTTTTCAAGGGCCAACTGAGGCGTGGATTTATTAAAGAATATTTTTCAAGGGCCAACTGAGGCGTGGATTTATTAAAGAATATTTTTCAAGGGCCAACTGAGGCGTGGATTTATTAAAGAATATTTTTCAAGGGCCAACTGAGGCGTGGATTTATTAAAGAATATTTTTCAAGGGCCAACTGAGGCGTGGATTTATTAAAGAATATTTTTCAAGGGCCAACTGAGGCGTGGATTTATTAAAGAATATTTTTCAAGGGCCAACTGAGGCGTGGATTTATTAAAGAATATTTTTCAAGGGCCAACTGAGGCGTGGATTTATTAAAGAATATTTTTCAAGGGCCAACTGAGGCGTGGATTTATTAAAGAATATTTTTCAAGGGCCAACTGAGGCGTGGATTTATTAAAGAATATTTTTCAAGGGCCAACTGAGGCGTGGATTTATTAAAGAATATTTTTCAAGGGCCAACTGAGGCGTGGATTTATTAAAGAATATTTTTCAAGGGCCAACTGAGGCGTGGATTTATTAAAGAATATTTTTCAAGGGCCAACTGAGGCGTGGATTTATTAAAGAATATTTTTCAAGGGCCAACTGAGGCGTGGATTTATTAAAGAATATTTTTCAAGGGCCAACTGAGGCGTGGATTTATTAAAGAATATTTTTCAAGGGCCAACTGAGGCGTGGATTTATTAAAGAATATTTTTCAAGGGCCAACTGAGGCGTGGATTTATTAAAGAATATTTTTCAAGGGCCAACTGAGGCGTGGATTTATTAAAGAATATTTTTCAAGGGCCAACTGAGGCGTGGATTTATTAAAGAATATTTTTCAAGGGCCAACTGAGGCGTGGATTTATTAAAGAATATTTTTCAAGGGCCAACTGAGGCGTGGATTTATTAAAGAATATTTTTCAAGGGCCAACTGAGGCGTGGATTTATTAAAGAATATTTTTCAAGGGCCAACTGAGGCGTGGATTTATTAAAGAATATTTTTCAAGGGCCAACTGAGGCGTGGATTTATTAAAGAATATTTTTCAAGGGCCAACTGAGGCGTGGATTTATTAAAGAATATTTTTCAAGGGCCAACTGAGGCGTGGATTTATTAAAGAATATTTTTCAAGGGCCAACTGAGGCGTGGATTTATTAAAGAATATTTTTCAAGGGCCAACTGAGGCGTGGATTTATTAAAGAATATTTTTCAAGGGCCAACTGAGGCGTGGATTTATTAAAGAATATTTTTCAAGGGCCAACTGAGGCGTGGATTTATTAAAGAATATTTTTCAAGGGCCAACTGAGGCGTGGATTTATTAAAGAATATTTTTCAAGGGCCAACTGAGGCGTGGATTTATTAAAGAATATTTTTCAAGGGCCAACTGAGGCGTGGATTTATTAAAGAATATTTTTCAAGGGCCAACTGAGGCGTGGATTTATTAAAGAATATTTTTCAAGGGCCAACTGAGGCGTGGATTTATTAAAGAATATTTTTCAAGGGCCAACTGAG